CGAGTCCAACGCAAACGTGCGGGCATGTTATTGAAATTCAGCCTACTCAAGCAACCAGCTCTGAAACCGACCACCCACCCTCCCAGCAATGGCTCTCACCTCCCTGCGGCAGAGGTAGCTTGAGTGGCAACCATCACTGTTACACGCTTACAGCTACTAACACCAACAAGCGGTTAACAGGGCGCCCACCTTTTCAGGCCCAGGGTAAAAAACAAAAACACCGAAAAGTGCATTTGGGTTCGTTTTTTTTTAACAGCTGCTTTTTTTTTTCTTTTTTTTTTTTTTGCCTTTTTTTTAGGGGGGGGGTCAAGGTCTGCGTGTGCCAAGTTTGGTGTTTCTTGGGGTCTTGGGGATGGCTGTTTTGGCCAGCCCTGAAAATCCTGAAAGTCCTGAAAAATGCTGAAAAGTTGAAAACTGAAAAGAGCAAATTTTTCATGAATACACACTTTTGCCTTGGGGTTTAAGGCCCCTTTTCTAATCCTTTTTGTTTTACTTTTTTTTTTTTTTTTTTTTTTGAGTACCTACCACTAAAGTAGCGCGTACTTTGTATTCACAGCGAGCGATGCCTCTGAACCCCACTGTCCCTTCTCATGTACTGTTTCTTGGTCGTTCCATACGTTGTTTATGTCCATTGTCCATTTTTCATTTACCAAATTACCGATTGCTTATCCTGCACGTCGCATGCTATTCAACCATCAAATGAACACAAAGTGAAAAAAAAAAAAAAAAAAAAAAAAAAAAAAAAAAAAAGCCTTGTTCAAGATTTTCCCTTGACTTCCTTAACTATTACCAAAAAAAAAACATTTCACCAGGTACGACTCCGGTGCCAGAGAATTCCGCCCCCTCCCAACCAGGTCATTCACAGCTTCCTCATGTGCTGTGGCCCTTCTGCCTTCATTTTCCAAGAGCTGGAGCAGCAAGACGGTTCCGCCGACATCGTTGAAGGATAAGAATGCTGCCGACTGAGCGAGGGATTATTGCTTATGTTAGCCACATGATTCGTCTATAGTCCCACCATCGTATCGGGCCCATGAACTTCCATCGTATAGTCCCATAGCACGGTTCCATTCCATAGTTCTATAACATACTTCTGTTCCCGTCTCTTTCCCTCTCCAGCCATCCCCAGTCCCCACACTCAGTGCATTGAATCTGGCTCCCACTACAGCATTAAGCCAGCCACCGCTACTTCAAAAGGACCTCCCTTCTTTCTTCCAAAGCGATCCCTTCTTCTGTCTCCTGAAGCGACAACACTCCGCTTGGAATTTCCCCTTCTCGTACTCCTGGAAACCGGTTTGGTACCAGACCTTATCAAAGCTCGGCAAGCAGGTACGGAGGTCCAGGTGGTTTACTTACAGTACACTAACTACCGTCTTCGGCCGAATGGAACGCCCGGTCATTACAGTACAGCTTCTGTGTCACGACCGAAAATCGTGACAAACACGTGGCTATAATGACCGGGCGTTCGATTCGGGTGAAGACGGTAGTCCTATTCTTTGCACTTGGAAGGACGTGTAGCAGAACAACAACAGGCAAAAGCTGCTATGGCCACCACAGCAGTTCTGCTCAGAATCAAGGACTTCAGCATTTTGACGTGCAGAGCGGCATTTTGTGTTTTCGCATGAGCGCTGTTAGGCTGTATACGTATTCTACTGCTTTTCTGTCTGTCACAGAAGCTGCGCATTCTGACGCCACGAGGAAAGATTATACATATGAATAACTTAGTTGTATGCTCATCCTTGTTGGGGAGGGGGGCGGGGGATAGGGAGGGGAGGAAGACGGCAGTTCGAATACTGAAAGCACTCAGCTCTCATCTGTCTGCACCCTGGTCACCACATCACATCATTGCCTGTTTCCATTTTCTCCTTTTTCTTTCGGCATTCGTTACCTTGCTCGTAAAGCTCTGCTGGACAGGTTTCGAACTTTCGACTGCTTGCTTGAGGGATGAAGTTCGACTCAGTCAGAAAAGTGACCGTATGTATGATATAACAGTTTAGTAGTTCAAATAATAATAATAGTAATAATTAAACCACTTAAAAAATAATAATAATACAGCCCCTCGTTTGTTGTCCTCTTCTCCCTCTCTGCCTACGGTTTACCGGGCAGTTCTATTTGTGACGATATATATCGTCACAAATAGAACTGCCCGTCACAAATAGAACTGCCCGGTAAACCGTAGGCAGAGAGGGAGAAGAGGACAACAAACGAGGGGCTGTTATATATCGTCACAAACAGAACTGCCCGGTAAACCGTAGGCAGAGAGAGAGAAGAGGACAACAAACGAGGGGCTGTGACGAACTGTTATATATATATATATTTTAACAAGGCACAATGCTAACCACTCGACTCTTGCAACTCCACCACTCAACACTCGCAAACAGCCAACGAAAAGATTGGGAAAAAAAAAAAAAAAAAAAAAAAAAAAAACTCTGCTCCCCTTCAATGTGGATGACCAGAATGAGTGCTACACCCTACATAGACAGCATAAACCTCCCGAAAAAGACTTAGCATTTGATTTGTGCATTGTCAGCACACACTTGGATTCCACTTCGCTGCATATAGCCATCACAATCATCCCCTTTTCATCTCGTTCTTCCTCCTCGTCCTTTTTTCGTCCTCTTCCTCTTGTTTTCAGTTGCCAGTCCGATTGACAAGGTCCTCTCCTGCTTTTCCACCACCACCTCTCCTCCTCCTCCTCCTCCTCTTCCTCCTCCTCCGCCTCATGATTGCTCAGCCCTCAAACATGCTCCTCCTAAGAGCAGGACAAACGAATCACCTGGACGGCTGTCTCTTATACACATCTAGATGTGTATAAGAGACAGCTCCTCCTCCTCTTCCTCCTCCTCCGCCTCATGATTGCTCAGCCCTCAAACATGCTCCTCCTAAGAGCAGGACAAACGAATCACCTGGACGGTGTTTGACAGCTGACGCCTCCCCCTCTCTCTTCCTGCTCCTCTTCCCCTCCTCATTCTCCCATCCTTATTCCTCCTCCCTCCATCCCCCGTTCTCCTCCTCCATCTGCGAGGACCTTCACCGAATGCAGCAGCAGATTGCACACATGAAACTTGTACTCAGGAAAAACGTTTACAAAACACAACTGACCGCCAATTTGCCTGCTCGATGGCAGCGAGCCAGTCAACCGCGCTTCTCGGCCACCCAAGGCATTCTTTTGCCTGGCTTCCAGGACTCTCTAGCCAAGGGACACGTCACTGCTGAGCGCAATTGGACCCTTTGCATTCTGTTCCTCCGCATTCATAGAGGTTTTGAATTGCCATTAACAACAAAAAAAAAAAAAAACAAAAAAAAAAACGATCTTGCCCGTTACATCTTGGAATGACCGAAGGGTAGAAAAAGCAAGCACAACTGTCCACAGAACGATTCTTCAATGAAAGTCATCCGTACTCAGACAGACTGACAGTTGAGCTGCTTAGATTGTCAAGCATACCGAGAGAAACTCGCTCGATTTGCAAATTTTGTTTTTCGCGCAGACTGTGTTCGTTGAGCCTTTTCCCAAAATCGTTTTTCTTTTTTTCTTTTTTTCTTTTTTTTTTGCCTTTTCCAAATTCTAACACGCTTGGAAACATTCCATTCGTCGGAGCAGAAATGTGTTCGAATCGTTCTGATATCTGATACACTCTGGAACACTGTGTTACCAGACCTGATACAATCTGGAAGACTGTGTTACCAGACTGGCGGCGCGGGTTGCCCCAGATTGACCCGGCCGGACAACAGTTTTCTGGGATGCCCAATTTCGTGAAAATAGTAAAAAATGCTAGGCTACCAGAGTGGCCCGGGGTCACTTACCCGGCCGGGCCAAAAACATTAAAAAAAAAAGAAAAAAACATTAATTTTTAATTTTATTTTTTATTTTGAATTCGGTGAAGAATTTCGATGTGACCCTGAGGCAAAAGTTGTTCAGTTCATTTTTCTGCATAACATAGTTTTTTTTTGGATTTTAAGCTTGACAAAAAGGAGAAGAGGGGAAAGGGAAGGGTACGAAGAGAACTGTGCAAAACTATCTGTCAGCTATGACGATTGCCATCCTCCACAAGTATCATTTTTTTTATTATTCTGATAATTTTGTCCATTTCCTGTGGACAGAGGTTTAGCTTGTTTGCTTTCCGCTTGCTCGCAGTTGCTGCATGGTTCTCTCAAAAGTAGACTCGATCTCGCAGCCAGCGGCCAGCGGCGCCACGCTTCTTTTTTTCCTGGCCACGCCACTCACCGGATCGAGCTCAATGCTACTGCCACAGAACTACTTCTTACACGCATCTTATGTTTTGATGAATCCATTCAGATTTCTCACACTCTTAAAGAATTAGCCTTAAAAAAAAAAAAAAAAAAATCAGCCAATATTTTAAAAGAGTTGAAAAAAAAATCAATGGCCAACTCGCTAACGTTTGACAGACAAAAAGAATATGGCAAATGCTGATGGACTGATGGCATCCTGATGACTACAATAATGTCCACTACCTAACCCCTTCAGCTGGTGCTGCTCCCCACCAGTAGAATGGATGGAGCCATCTACAATCGAGAGCCGATTATCGGAGGAGCCTGCTCCTAACACCTCCGCTAATAACAGGTCTCTCCCCGATGTTTTCCACCCCCCCTTCCGCTAATAAAAGAAGAGAGAGAAGAAAAAGAGGAAAAAGGAAAAAAAAAATTGTGTTTACGTAAAAGACTGCCAACGCGTGTTGACCACAAAGTAGTGAAAAACGTTTTCTTGCCCAGAAAAACGTTTTCTTGCCCAGAAAAACGTTTTCTCTCGCCTTTTTCCTGCTCACTCTTGTCACCGCCTGTCTAGCTCTATCTCTTGCCATCATCTATCTGTTTATTTATCTATCTATCTATCTATCTATCTATCTATCTATTCATTGCCTATATACCGTCACACCGCGTATCGGAGCGCAAAGGCGTAACCAAAAAAAAAAAAAAAAAAAAAAAAAAAAAAAAAAAAAAAAGGAAAGAAGTAAGGAAGGAAAGCTCCGCCTGTTCATCACCTCTTACGTACAAGGCCGGCCACGTGGATGATGGTTATATCTATATTCTTGGCATCGCCCAATCTACATCAATTTCTTGTCATCCATTGCCTATTTACCTCTTGTATTCATCCTTTTCTCCGTGACAATGCAACCCCTGCTCCATCTGAGGAGAGGCTTCGCGGCCGAAAGCATACCCCATCCACAGGTTTAGACAATCGAGGGCGTGGTGACCATGTGAATCTGTGTCACGCCTCCCATGGTGCAGCCGCATCTCCACATGGTCTTCGCGATCTAAGCTGGGGAAATCAGAAATAGACCAAAAAAAAAAAGGGTTTGGGAATAGCCTCGCAGAGAAACTCTTTTGTCATGGGCATATCAATTACCCCCCTCCCAGAGCAACTACGTATTTTGTCAAGGGCATCAATTACCCCCACATTCACCTTACTCGATCTATCTACTGTAGGCATACTGTAGGCAACTACAGACCGTACATTTTCGGTCACATCCACTCCGGGATCCAAGGGAAGTTGTTCCTTCAGGCTCAAGTCAAAAAATGACCTTACCGTCATGCTGGATGCCGAACGCTGAGGACGATTCCACGACGACAATGATTGCGTGCGGGGCAATCCACCACCATAAAAGCAACCAAAGCCCGCTGGAGCTCGGCCGCACTGCCATTGCTTTCCGCGCAATCATCATCAGCCACGTGAACGAACCAAGTCAGCAACTATCACCATCCACGTAGGATGATGAGCCACGCGGCCCCCATTCGCCGGGGCGGTGCAGGGAAGTCCTGCCATTGTCTCCATACAAACTCCTCGCTAGCCATCACTCCGTTTTGTTGCATCCAGCTTTGGAATTGCATAGAGATTTATATCCACCCACCAAGCCCACGCCAACGCAGGATTATCTTGACAGACAAGGGTAGCAAAATGCGCGAGGAGAAGAGGATTCGTAAGCATCGTGACCCTGTAGTCCCCCGAAGAGCAGAGCATCTTCGCGCTAAGCTAAGGCCCCTCTCAGACAAGTATTTGAATGCCACTCTCCCTCTCCCTCTCCCTCCGCAATTGACCGAACAATCGGTGCAAGAGAGAGAGAGAGAGAGAGAGAGAGAGAGAGAGAGAGAGAGAGAAGATTCCGAAAAAGCATAATCTGCACTTAGGACGAAATGCAGACTTAGGCGCTAACGAGTAAAGCTGAGCATCGTTTTCGGCCCCTCTCCTACTCCACTCATACAGAGCCACAAATCTTTTACCTTCCCATCAAAGCATCTGGAACGTATGTACAGATATCTGAGCCTCTTTCGATTTCCTATGTGCCCGCGCTTATGGCAAAAAATGGCAAAAAATGGACAAGCAACCAGCACCTCCACCGCCGGTCAATTACTGTCAAACATGTCAAAGCGTCCTCCCCCGAAAGAAGCAGCCAACTCTTTGCAGACAAAATAGAAAACATCATACAGCCACGATTGGGCTGTGATAGCCAATTCGTTTGGACGTGCACCGTCTCTCAGGAGGTTGCAACGCTCGGCCCATACAGGTCCTGCTGAATTCCAACACACTAGCTCGGCCCATGAGGTAGTGTGACGTCCTTGAGAGCTGTACAACACCCTGCATACGGTACAACCTCCCGTGACATACAGCAGTACTCACTCCAGAAATTATTAATCCACAGTGCGATCATAACCACGACAACATCAGCACAACACAAACATGCGCCCGAGGTCATCGGCATCCTCTCTACATCGTAAAAGGGGTGGTCGCTCAATGCGCGCACCTGCGTGTTTTCTCTCTTATCGCGACGAGTCCTGAAGCGCGCCAAAGAGCGGTGATAGCTATGACAACAGCACAAGCATGCTCCCCCACTCGAGGACCTGGCCTGACCTTACCACACGTCCCTCTGATAGCGTCCTTCTTGCTGCATCCGTTTGACTAACAGGTCGGCTTCAGAAGCAGATACCACCTCCCTTTCCTGAACGATGGTCAGGAGAGCGCGATGAACGTCTTTCGCCATGGCCTTGGCATCCCCACATACGTACAGGTGCCCACCTAATCCTCCCCTGTCTTTGGGCGCCAGCAGCTCCCACAACTCAGCAGCATTCTCCGACATCTTATGTTGCACGTACTCCTTTACGTCTTGATCTCGCGAGAAGGCCAAGTGCAAGCTGCTGAGCGCGCCACTTTTCAAGAATGCCTCCACCTCCTCCTTGTAGATGTAATCCTTGCTGCGGCTCCGACAACCAAAGAAGAAAACCGCCTTCCCAAGAAGGGTGTTTCCCTCTGCCTCACGCAACTTGGATCTCAGCAGATACTCCCGCTCCTGCAAGAAACCCCTAAATGGTGCCAATCCAGTCCCCGGGCCAACCATGACAATCGGAAGAGACATATCTACGGGCAATCTAAAACCAGACGACCGAACAAACACGGGCATTGAACTGCGCGCCGTGGCATCACCTCCACCTCCCTTCACCGTGTCCTCCTTCGACGACGGAACTGCTCCTGCTAACCAGAGGGAAGCGACACCTTGATGCACCCGGCCGCTGCGGGTGGTTTCCTCCACAACAGCGCAAGTGACGTGCACTCTGCCCGGGTCATGGTGAGGCGACGATGAGATGGAGTAATACCGCGGCTGCAGCGTCGGGGCCATGGAGCCGAAGAACACTCCAAGAGGGGGTTTGACCGATGGAAAGGCCTCAAGAACTTGAAGCAGGCTTCGTTTATCGCCCACTACCCAGGATGCGTACTCGTCCTTGCCCTCCGGCGAGGCAAGAAAGCGGAGACGCGCTTCATCGTCCGCAGACTCCGCGTAAGCTGCCATCGCCAGCAGCGCCGTCTTTCTCGGCGCGTTCAGCAAGTCGCTGAAGCATGCCAAAGCCACTCGAAGCGTGCATGGCCCAGAGAAAGGCGGCGGCGGAAGGGAGTCGAAGTCGGGACCTTGATGTTGGCCATCCTCGGTGTCTCTGTGCAAAGAAATCACTGTGTCGAGGGCGTAGCCGAGGCGTTTAGCGGCCGCCTCGACTACATGCGGCTGGTTCTCTGGAAACACTCCCAAGTGGTCTCCAGGCTCATACTCCATTCCAGAACCGGTCAGATCGAACTCCACGTGGACACAAGACCTCTCAGAGAGAGGGGAATGCAGCTCCCTCCTCGCCACCACGGTCGCTTTAAAAGGACGATTCGCATCGTAGGCGTAGCCCTCGTGTCCCGGTCCTGTCGCCGTTGCCGCAGTCTTGAGCGACCGTACTCTTGAGATCTGCTGCTGGGATCTCTGTCGCTCTTCATCCCCTCCTGAGGAGATCCGCTCCTCTTCCTTTCCCCCCCCAGGTAATCCACCCACATTCATCGTCTTTTCATGGAGTACCACTCTGTACTGCGCCACCGACACTTCCCCGTGGCCGCCGCCGCCGCCGCCGCCGCCGCCATCGACGTCTCCGATGCCCAACAGCTTGTCCATCACCGGCCATACGCCCGAGATCCAAGCGGCGAAATCGTCCTCAATGATCACATCGTCGTCGCCTAATCCGATTGGCACCATCCTGCTCGCACCCAGCTTCTCCAAGCACTTGTCTATCACTTTCCCTACCGCGTTGAAGTGCTCATACTGCTTGTTCCCGAGCCCGAAAACCGCGAAGTTCATCTTCGACAGCAATCGGCTACCTCTGCCCCCACCCCCATCACCATCATCATCATCATCGTCGCTCAAAGAGGAGCATTTCTCCGTCATCCATTTATGAAATCGAGCGGCATTGTCCGTCGGCTCCCCATCTCCGTAAGTTGCCATCAGGAAGAAGCACAGTCCTTCATCAGACAGCTTCGACTCAAGCTCCTCCTCGTCTGCCCCGTAATCGTCGATGTCGATGACCTCCACTGCGCTGACGTCGCCATATCTCTGGCGCATCTCCTTTGCCAGATCGTTCGAAAACCTCTCCGCTGTGCCTGTCTGCGTGCCAAAGAAGATGGCAATTCGTCTCTTTGGCTTCGGCTTTTCCTCCTCAGCAAGCTCTGCTTTCTCGGACTTCCCCTCGCGACCGACCCCCGCCTCTTCCACCTTTCCGCCCGGTCCCAGCCGACTGCCATCCGCCGCCAGCGAGTTGTTGAAGCCACGACCCTTGTACGACGGCGCCTTTTCTTCCACGGACTCGATTTTCGACGAAAAGGAACGTAAGATGAAGATCCCTGCCATGCCGAGAACAAACGCCAAAAAGTAGGGCCACGACCATAGCCAAGCTCCGACGAGGGCTGGCCCTTCTTTGCCAAGAAGAGCATGGTGGACAGTATTGAGGTGCTCCGCCATATCGGTGTCCGAACGCACGAATCCTCCTACTTCCCCTCCTCCTCCTCCTCCTCCTCCTCCTCCTCCTCCTTCAACCTCCCATCCGAGTACTAGTAATAGAATGCTTACTATCACCCACAGGGGAGCAGCGATGTCACGACGCCGCGCCGACACGCGCACCATATCCATAACGCCCTTCTTAGCACGGCCCTCCCAACTCCACCTACCTCCACGCGGCCGTACCCAAGATCGTCGCACGACCCGCGCGCAGCCGAACAGGGGGACGACACTCCGCCACGCTTCGGCTGCCCAGGTCGCGCTCCCCCGCCGCTGCCGCTACCGCGGCCGCGAACTCATGAACCCCTCGCCACGCTGTATGCACACCACACGTCACGAAATCAACCCCGACCGTTGCCTTCCGGCGGCCATCTGAGCGAATCTCGGTGCCACCAATTTCCCTTGCCGTTAAAATCAATGGCCCGATTTCCCCGCCCGTACCCGTCGCTCAATTCAATGGGCCAATTTCCCCGCCCGTACCCGTCGCTCAATTCAATGAGCCAATTTCCCCGCCCGTACCCGTCGCTCAATTCAATGAGCCAATTTCCCCGCCCGTACCCGGCGCTTCCGTGGAAGCGAATCTCGGCGCTTCGGCGCACATGGCCGTTCAGTTCACAACCTGTGCGGCCTTTGCAGACCTAGCCACGTGTCATGCTTACGTGCGCAGGGGCCATGCTAATTTCTTTTTTTCTTTTTTGGGCTTACGTGCGCAGGAGCCACAAGGCTCCCGCACGTTCCCTCGTTGGAGGCTTGAGCACGGATGTGGCTGCTACGGGGCACTGGGCCCGTGAGTGATTTGTTATTAAAAAAAAAAAGAAGCGTGTGTGGGAGAGGCATCCGTTAAAATTGGAACGATACAGAGAAGATTTTTTTTTATTTTTTTTTTAAAGCTATATTCTTCTCTCAATTTCACCTCACACTACCTACCTACCACTACTACTAATTGTAGGCATACGGGGAACCCCGTAGCAGCCAGAACCGTCTTCACGAGAGAACATGCGGGGGCTGCTCCCGACCTGCAGGTGGGTGATACCGGCTAGGGGACAGCCGGTAGCATCAGGGACCATGCCAACAGGAC